TTCAGCAATTTAATCACTTAAAATATATAAGAAAATTAACGTCGTACATGGAATTGCCCAAATGCTACATATTTTAAAGCTAAAAAAGTATCGACATATTCACCATGGACGTGCATACGGGTTATCACTGGAATATTTTTTCTAAAAAAGCATGTACGCCACTGACTTTTTTTCTCATGTTAATGAAGTAGTGTAAGCAGTTTATTATCGATTAAAAGTTGTCTCTTGATACTCTGTCGATTCCTTGATTAGATAAACGCAATTTTACTAATTTGCCTAGATCCAAGTCTAATAGCAACCTTTAAAAAATTTTAATATCATTAACTTGCGAAAGTTTCAAATAAGTATTCATTGATTTCTCATCAAAAAATATGAAAAAAAGTTCCTATATACATAAATAATAGTACTAATATTTAATAATAAATGAGGTAAAATATATAATTTATTAATTTAATTTTTATTTTAATTTCATTAATTGTGATTAATAAAATTGCGTTTGTCTCATCAAGGAGGTCGAACTCGAAAAAATATCAAGAGATAGCATTTAATTGGCATTAAAGGAACTACACAATTCTGATATCAAAAGAAAAAAGTCTGTGGCGCACATGTTTTTTTTTAAATATTTCAGTGATGACCCATATGCACGTCTCTGATTATCGACACTATTTTTAGCATTAAAATATACAGCACTTATAGTAACATTTACCCCCAAAATTTAATTCAAATCACTAGAAGTACTTGAAAGAAAATTATAAGAAATCGAAAAAATATTAAAACTTAACACCCTGTACCTACAAAACAAAGCAGAATCGGGCCTATGTTGATATGAAAAATAAATCTTATTTTTACGTAAGGAATCTCCCCAAGACAAATGGCATATGTTTTTTGAAACACCCTGTATAGATGTAGCGCGTGTCCCACGTTTACGGTGTTTGAATGGTATAAACTATTTTATCAAAGTCGAGTTTGGCAGCTTCCTAGCGTCCAAGTAAGCTGGAAGCCAAACCTACTTACATTGATGTTAAAAAGCCTTCCAAATCGACTTTGATGAAACAGTCAATACTATACAAGCAGCGTACAAGTAAGACTCGCTCAGCATTATTCTAAGCACATGTATAAATGGCAGCATCCATGCATCCAAGTGTACTTGGTCCAAGTACACTTTGACCGTGTCATCCCGCCTTAAATGAGAAAGATAGAAAAAATACAGGGTGTCCCAGAAATAGGTGCAAGTATTTTAAGGGGTGGTAGATCTCGATAAAAGAAACATATTTCCTGTTTATCATTTTTCAAATAAGTCCAAAATAACGGTGTTATTTTACCTTGAAAATTTCCAAAAGAAATGATTTTTTGCTAAAATTCTGAGAACCACTAGATCTTTTCCAGATTTTCTTTCTTGTAAATTTCATCTAATACCTATGTTGCCATATTATCAAGAAATTGTTTTTTAACTAAAAACTAAAAAAATTCCAAAATATTTGGAATTTTAAAAAATATTTTTGCGCTAATAAAGTGAAAAAATATTAAGATTTTAACACCCTGTAGCTACGAAACAGAGCAGAATCGGACCTATGTTGATATGAAAAATAAATCTTATTTTACGTGATGAATCTTCTCAGGAGAGATGGCACATGTTTTTGAAACACCCTATATATTGTATTAAACTTACCTCTTCATTCTTATGTGCTCCTAATTGAAATCGGCGATTTTTGACCCGGTTTAAAAATTTTCGTTTAATTTTTGTTAAAAGCTGAATTTTCTCGGATTTTTATAAGGAGTAGGTACATAAGAGCGAAGAGGTAATGATAGATATTATTTATACAGGGTTGTTCACCACATACGACACGGAGTATTGTAGCTAAACGATTAGATTTTTACAAATTTTAAGTTTTGGGTTCGTTGAAGGACTATTAGAGCTACAATTTAAAAATATTTTTACAAGATACAGAGTGTCCCAAATAAATAAAAAAATATTAAAGTTGTATTTTTTTAAATGGAACACCCTGTATATTATTACATTTTTAGTTTCTACGATTAAAATAAAGGTAAATTTGATTAAGGTTTATTATACTTAAACCTTACCGTTTTTGAAATATTTTCAATTTTGTGAAATTGCAGTAAAAATTTTAAAGCTTCATTTCTCCAAGGGTATCAATGTTTTAATACTAAATATTTAATGAAGTTTATTTATTGATCAGTTATTGTGTTGCAATAATAAAATAATACTACCTTATACAGAGTGTCTAAAAATTTATTTTAAATAATTATTAGCTTAAACGGCAATAACTTCTTTAATTTAAATGGAATGCCCTGTATATTTTAGGAGAATCAGATGCACAATTAAATTGTCTATCAAATTGTATTATACCATTTTTTACCTATCCCTTCAAGTTTTCGTATAAAATGCATTTTCTTATAATTTAGACCTCATTTATCAATATATCAATGGAATATTGACATTTTAGATTGTTTTTAAAGCAACAAATGTACAAAATGTACAGACTAGTAATATTATCGTTTTTAGCAAAACGATAATATTACTAGCCCATTTGTATGCAAAAAGAAAACTATTTAAATCTTTATAAAAGAGTATACCATTAATTAAATATAACACCATTATTTGCGCCCATATACTAATTAATTACATACTTAATTGTGTTCGTTATTAAATTATTATAAATAAATGTGGATTTGAGTCAGAAATCAATATAATAATAAGTTATCAAATTAAAGTCTCTGTAGTTATAAATAAGCATTTATTAAAAAATGAAATATCATTTTTAAGGTGTTACTTTTTATCACACTGTCTAATGCCCATACAAAATTCAGTTTTTTAGTATTTGGAGCAATTATTATTAATCAAAGCAAACAGTCAGTTAATGTTGTTTGAATACTGGAATCATATTAACTGATCCTCTTTAACAAATATTTAAACAGTTTTTTTTTATTTTTTAATGAAATAAACGAATTATATCGACAATATTAATATTTGTACTCTTTAAAAATTTGGTACATCTTTAAAAATAATCTAAAATGTCAATAGTCCATGGGTATATGGATAAATAAGTTCTAAATTACAAGAAAATGCATTTTCTACGGAAACTTAAAGAGATAGGTAAAAAATGGTATAATATAATTTGATAGACAATTAAATTGTGCATCTCATTCTCGTAAAATATACAGGGTGTTCCATTTAAATTAAACAAGTTATTGCCGTTTGAAGATAATAATAATTTAAAATAAATTTTTAGACACTCTGTATAAGGTAGTATTATTTTTATTATTGCAACACAATAACTGATCAGTAAATAAACTTCAGTAAATATTTAGTATTAAAAACTTTGATACCCTTGGAGAAATGAAGTCTTAAAATTTTTACTGCAATTTCACAAAATTGAAAATATTTCAAAAACGGTAAGGTTTAAGTATAATAAATCTTAATCAAATTTACCTTTTATTTTAATCGTAGAAACTAAAATGTAATAATATACAGGGTGTTCCATTTAAAAAAATACAACTTTGATATTTTTTACTTATTTGGGACACTCTGTATCTTGTAAAATTATTTTTAAATTGTACCTCTAATAGTCCTTCATCGAACCCAAAACTTACAATTTGTAAAAATCTCATCGTTTACCTACAATACTCCGTGTCATATGTGGTGAACAACCCTGTATATAAAATATTGTCTATTCCAGAACAACTTATTTTTTCATAATTAAATGGGACTTTTTTTTTGTTTAGGATAAGACAGTATTTCTAATATGTATATTTTAGTTCAATAAAACTCATTTATTATTAAGTATTATTTATTTACGTATTATATTTTGTTAACAAAGAGTAATTTAAAAAGTATAATCCAAGGTGTTGATGGACATGCTGATGTCCATGTTGAAGTAAATAAATCTTTTGGCTACCCTTCTCGAAAGTCCGGATTCCTGGTTCTGTAAGAAAAATGTAAAGAAATAGTTAATTGTTTGTTCACTAACAAACTTGATTAATAACTATTGCTTCTATAACTTTAAATTTTCAGTAAATTGATAGGGTATATAAAATATTATAAGATATATGAATGAACTTTTTTGATAGTAATACAAGGAAAAACATGATTGAATGAAAATTGAATTAAAAATTGTAAACTCTTATATAGGCAACTCTAAATACATGTTAAGTGAATTTATAGTTGCCTAAAATCAAAAATTTATATTCTTGATGTATTTTTAGTTACCTATCCTATATTAAATTGTACACCAAAATATTTTATTTCAAATTATTCATTATTATTTATCTAAATATTTTACAAAATACAATACTAGGTATTTATAGGTAAAAAATACACCTTTTAGTAAAATGTACCTAAAATTATTTAGTTTCCTCTTCACTGATGAATTTCATTCTCAATCTGCTGATGAATGTTGTTTGAAATTTAAGTAAGGCTCAAAATTAAACCTTCACCATATTGTCAAGATTTTATTTTGTCATTACTTAAGGAAACAAGAAATTACAGTAAATTAAGAAAAGAATAATCATAAATATACCAATATCATATATATTATATATATATATATATATATATATATATATATATATATATATATATATATATATATATATATATATATATATATATATATATATATATATATATATATATCATATATATATCAATATATATATATAATATATATCAATATACCAAGTACAGGATATTAAATACCTGAAATATATTTGTACGATATAAACCACCATCTCTCTTCTAAAGAGTAAAAAATAAAAGATAAAGCTTATTTTAATTCTGTCAGCATTCTTCGATAAAATATATGCCTACAATGGCTATTAATCCACTAACTTGATATTTTTAATAAATTATGATATAAACATTATAATCTTAAACTAGGTAAAATGTTACCTATATCTCATTGACCTGTATTGTGCTGTAAGACTCATCTTCTTCTTCATGTCCCATTGGCTAAACAAAAAGCACATTGAGATCATCTGTTCCATCTTCTAATCGTGCCAATGTAAGTGTGTTGTCCTCAGCTCGGCGAAACAATGTTCTCGCATCCAAAACTCCATACCAATCCCTGGTAGTACGCGTCCATAAGTGATGTTTCCTTCCATGTCCTCTATGACCTTCACTCTTTTCCTGGAGTATCAATCTCGGGCCATAGATTAAAACATATTGGATAAGAAATAGGTACTCTGTTACCTATTTACCAAGCTTTGTCACTGTCAATGTACATTTCCAGAAAAAAATGATCTAAAATGAAAAGAAAGATATCAATAAATAATATATTAGAGAAACCAGAGAGTTTAGGAGATACAAGATAAGATAACCCAAGCATCATTTGGACGTCGGGACAACGTTGTGTCACGCGACTAAACGTCGGGGCGCAACGTCGGCACGACCTCGTGCCAACCCTAGTCTGCACTAGTTTGGAGAATAATTTTTGGGTCGAAACGACGTTGGATACCGACGTTGGCTAGAAGCCTAATTTAGTACAAACTGCAACGTTGTTTAAAATCCTAATTCACAGAAATACAAAACTAATGTGGCGTCTAAGTCGCGTTTTATCCTAAATTGGGATAATTATAGTAAAAATATTATTTTTATGATTTAGTTAGAGACATATGTCAGATGGTAGTGAAAGACAACAAAACAAAAGTATTTAAGCGTGGAGGATGTTTGAAGATCATAATTATTGAAACACTTTAACCGACTCTGTAACTCGTTACCCAAGGCAAAAAAGTTAAACGCAAACAACTTTATTGATAAATATATTGTTTCTACTTTGAAAAATACTAATGGGCCTTAAAATTAAAGAAGTTTTAAAAATTTTCTTGAATTTTTTTTAGTAAAATGAGAATAATTTATTCGCAGTCGAAAAAATTGTTTTTTAGGGTCAAATATTTCAAGTTAATGTATTCAAAAAGCAGGAATTGCTATTTTAGGAACGAAACATTTTCTTATTTAACAACATGGCGGCTTTCACTTTGTTGTTTTGGAGATTAAGATGGAGTAGTTCGAGTAGTCGCATACTGGACTAATAAAGTCGCAGTTCGGCCTTAACAGGTAGTATACTAGTCGCAAGATTGCCTAATTTAGTCATCCTAGAGTCTAGCTTGTGCCGCCCTCTATAATCTAAATAAACGAGGGAGTGGATAAACTATCGGTAAATATGTCGATGTCTATTTAAATTTAGTTTTATATGTACCTTTCTTATGTCCCATTTTAATTAAGTTTTTTTTTATAAAAACAAAAACAGCACTGAACTGTCTGACTGAACAGAACAATGAAGTGAAAATTTAAGATTTAAGGTTATGGTTCAATACAGTTGCAAAAAGGTAGTGACTCGACGTCCTACCAACGTAAGAATAAGGAAATCGTAACAACGTTGGAATTAGTAAAACAGACGACGTTTGCATAACGTTGGAATAGGTCCTGAAACTGACGTCGGAAAACTCTATATTGTCCAACGTTGTAACTACGTTGTCCGAATCACCCAAAGATCACTTAAGCAAAAAAGGTTACAAGACAACGTTTATTCGACGTCGCAGAAGCTTTTACTTTGCTGTAGTACTAGTCCAACGTCGGCACAACGTTATAAAAACGTTTAAATTTATTTTAATACCCAAGGTAGGGAGCTAACTATTTCTTGTAACTAATCCAACGTTGTGTTTAGTAAACATGTGGTCACAAGTCGTGAAAATGCTACTTGGGAAGGAAATGCTTACCTATTTTTTTGTCAGTCCAACGCTTCACAACTGCCTCCCATCTTCAAATTCTTGCAAGAAGTAACATCCAACATAGTTTTAACCTGAGATATTAAATAAACATTAGTTTTTTGAAGAGTTTAATAATATACTCATATAAAATCTTAAGAAAAGGTAACAATAAGAAGTTAAAAAATAATATAAAGTAATAATTGTTGTTCTCACCGTAACGAGTAGCTATTTCAAAAACCAAAATAATTTGGCAGCTGCTACTAATATCTTAAAATTTTATCTTCTACTCCTATCCATGCCTATATATTTATTTCTTTCTTCCATTTTCCAAGATTTTCTTGACTTTATGGTGAAGGAAGAGATTTCCGATAAATATTCCCTAGAAGTTTGATACAAAAAAGAAAAAAAGTATTAGTATTGATATAATGACTATAAAAATACAAATATAATTTTAAACTAGAATTTTGTCTTATAATAATAAATATTATGGTTTACCAAAATAACTCACTAATTTGCCACATATTTATACGTGTTTTTTTTCATAAAATAATTTCTTACTTGGACATCCAATATATTTTATTTGTACACTTCTATTTCGATGCAATTGATTTTATCTAAAAAATAAAAAAAAACATATTGAAAAATCTAGAAAATTATGAAGCAGTAAGAAGATACTTTCTTACCTGTAGTCATCATCATTTTCAGCTTGTTCAACAAACACTATGGTGAAGCCTCCGTCACATATTTAGATAATCTCTTTGTAGTTGGTCCCATTGGTGTCTATTGTTGGCTATGCGAGCTCAAGTTATGAGCTAATTTGCTAATATCATATATCTTCTAGGTCTCTTAGTTCCTTGTTGGTAACATGCTGTAATTTTTTCTGGCCCATCGGTAGTCCGTCCTTCTTACCAGGTATTCTGCCTATTGCCACTTGAGAGATTTGATTTTTGAGGGTCTTTTGTCGTATCCACTCTATTCTTTTATGACCTCTCTTGGATATTCCCAGCATATTTCGTTCCATCGAACAAAGTGCGACCTGCTGTTTCGTTATGATGTACGTTTTAAGTGTCCAGGTTTTGCCTGCCTAGGTCATGACTGGTAGTACACATTGGTCGAATGTTTTCTTCTTTAGATAAAGTGGCATTCTGGATTTGAATATGATCGAGTTTCTTCCATAAGTACTCCATGCTAACATACTTCTTCTGTTGATTTCTGGTGGTAGAGATCCCGAGCTCTGTATTAGTTGTCCCAAATATATTTAATGTTCTAATATTTCTACTGTTGTGCTATTTATTAGAAAAAAAATTTCTTTCTACTGTTGTGCTATTTATTAGAAAAAAATTTTCTGTCTACTAGTTCGTTGTACATTACTTTAGTTTTTTCTTGTAGAAGATACATTAATTTTGAGACCTACATCACTGCTGGCTGTATTTAGTGCGTTATTTTGGGCTTGTAGTTCTTCAGGACTATTGGCAATTAGGACTATGTCATCAGCGAATCTTAGATTGTTAAGATATTTCCCATCTATTTTTAAACCTTTATTGGTCCAGTCCAGTTGACGGAAGATTTCTTCTAGTGTTGCTGTAAACAGGCTTTGGGGATATCGCGTCTTCCTGTCTTACCTGTAGTATATATCACTATATTTTTTACACTCAATATTTTTTGTCACACTCAAAATCTGTCTGATATCTTCACAGCACTCCAACACTACCATCCCAAAAACACCACATATAGCGCCCTGAAAAAAAGGATATGCAACAACCAACCTAACCTAACCACAACACCTACAGTGCAGCTCCTACAGAGAACGTTAGTTAATGATGACCTCAAAAAGTCCTAAAAATTTCTACTGCACTACTAAAAAACTCGATTCCTTTTTTCTAGGCCCTAGAATCATACCTGAACTTGAATTGAAAATACGAAAATAAGTTTACAACATTTAGACTATTTGTATTGAAAATTTAGTTATTGAAATGCTTAGATATTGGCATGCCTTTACTCTAAAGTAGTAATAAGTAAAAGAAAGTGAGTTAAAAAATTCGGAAGTTATAGAGAGTTACCTACACCTAAACGGTTAATTTAAGAAAATAAAAATATCTGTTAGACATTCTGTAGATTTCAATTTTACTAAGAATGATATTAATTATAGTTAATAAAAGTTTTTTTTTAAATAGTTAAAACAGAGGGAATCTAATTCCAAATAACGTTAAAAAGAAAACACTAAAACAATAAAAGACTTGGAATCCTCATTATCTTAGCACTCTCGATTCAACATTACAGAGATTAGAATAGGATGATTATTCTATTAAATTTTGTTTAAAATTACAGAAAATACCCCAAGCAGCATTTGGACGTCGGGACAACGTTGTGTCACGCGACCAAACGTCGGGGCGCAACGTCGGCACAACCTCGTGCCAACCCTAGTCTGCACTAGTTTGGAGAATAATTTTTGGGTCGAAACGACGTTGGATACCGACGTTGGCAAGAAGCGTAATTTAGTACAAACTGCAACGTTGTTTAAAATCCTAATTCACAGAAATACAAAACTAATATGGCGTCTAAGTCGTGTTTTATCCTAAGTTGGGATAATTATAGTAAAAATATTATTTTTATGATTTAGTTAGAGACATATGTCAGATGGCAGTGAAGGAAAACAAAACAAAAGTATTTAAGTGTGGAGGATGTTTGAAGATCATAATTATTGAAACACTTTAACCGACTCTGTAACTCGTTACCCAAGGCAAAAAAGTTAAACGCAAACAACTTTATTGATAAATGTATTGTTTCTACTTTGAAAAATACTAATGGGCCTTAAAATTAAAGAAGTTTCAAAAATTTTCTTGAATTTTTTTTTAGTAAAATGAGAATAATTTATTCGCAGTCGAAAAAATTGTTTCCGCGTGTTTTTTAGGGTCAAATATTTCAAGTTAATGTATTCAAAAAGCAGGAATTGCTATTTTAGGAACGAAACATTTTCTTATTTAACAACATGGCGGCTTTCACTTTGTTGTTTTGGAGATTAAGATGGAGTAGTTCGAGTAGTCGCACACTGGACTAATAAAGTCGCAGTTCGGCCTTAACAGGTAGTATACTAGTCGCAAGATTGCCTAATTTAGTCATCCTAGAGTTTAGCTTGTGCCGCCCTCTATAATCTAAATAAAGGAGGGAGTGGATAAACTATCGGTAATATATGTCGATGTATATTTAAATTTAGTTTTATATGTACCTTTCTTATGTCCCATTTTAATTAAGTTTTTTTAATAAAAACAAAAACAGCACTGAACTGTCTGACTGAATGAAGTGAAAATTTAAGATTTAAGGTTATGGTTCAATACAGTTGCAAAAAGGTAGTGACTCGACGTCCTACCAACGTAAGAACAAGGAAATCTAAACAACGTTGGAATTAGTAAAACAGACGACGTTTGCATAACGTTGGAATAGGTCCTGAAACTGATGTCGGAAAACTATATATTGTCCAACGTTGTAACTACGTTGTCAGAATCACCTAAAGATCACTTAAGCAAAAAAGGTTACAAGACAACGTTTATTCGACGTCGCAGAAGCTTCTACTTTGCTGTAGTACTAGTCCAACGTCGGCACAACGTTATAAAAACGTTTAAATTTATTTTAATACCCAAGGTAGGGAGCTAACTATTTTTTGTAACTAATCCAACGTTGTGTTTAGTAAACATGTGGTCGCAAGTCGTGAAAATGCTACTTGGGACTAATTCTAACAGTGACCTAGAAAGTCATAAAAATCTCTACTACTCAACTTAAAAAACTGGATTCCTCTTTTCTGGGGCCTAGAATTATATCTGAATTTGAATTGGAAATATAAAAATGAATTTAGAAAATTTAGGCTATTTGTTACATTTAGTTATCAAAATGATAGATGCGTTTACTCTAAAATAGTAATAATTAAATAAAAGTGAGTTAAAAAAATTAAGAAGTTAAAGAAAATTGCCTACACCTACATGTTTAAGAAAATCAAAATAACTGTTAGGGATTTTCTAGATTTTAATTTGACTGACATAATATGAATTAGATAATACGAACAGAGCTATAAGAACATCAAATACATTCTTAAGAAAAACCGATAGACATAACAACCCAATAAGCAGACCGATAGACATAACAACCCAATGGACCTCTGCTGCTTTCGAGAGGAAAGCATGTTCTTTGCTTATGTGAGGAGCCTCCACAGAGGACGTTAGCCCCTGCGGAAGTCAACCCAACGTGCTTCTGTGAGGACGCTCATACAGGAGACTTTAGCCCCGGTAGAGGTCGACTCGACACTGCTTCGCTTCTGTGAGGGGCCCCACAGGTGACTTTAGCTCCTGCAGGACCGCGCTCACGCCATCTCCGGGAAAATAAACGAACAACCAAATAAACCAGGAAAAATTTAAAAAAACTTACGTTTTTTGCCGAGCACTCCCCACGATGTGCATCCCTTGTACAAAAAATATACGCTCACTAACCTGAAACAATAGAAAAAATACGTTAGTTGAAAATAATAAAAAAAGAAATATAATCTTATAACATACCTGATTTTATCTCGTTCCATGCTCTCCATCCTACTGTCCTTTTCCAGAAAATCTTCGTTCCAGACCTGCACCAATCGTCGAGCCTCCTCAGAAACAGCCTTAAGGACAAGAGTACCTTAAGGCAACAGTTAGTGAAGAAGGTACTACGACTGAGACTTTGCACCTCGGACATCTCAAGGCCACAAAAAATATAGATTTTCTACTATAGGTAACAAGAAAGATTTCAGGTGTATTTAATGAGATAAATCTGTATAGAGAACTCTAGAGATTGAATAATAATAAATGAGGAAAATATGAGTTAATTTTATTTTCAACGAGAATTTACTCGAAAATACAATTAATGATGTGCAAAATGCATTATTTTAAAATTATCAAAATTAAGTATAAATTATCAAATTAAACGTACAAGTTTATTAAGAAACGTGATACCTCATGATACCTTTATATGGAAATGCAATTAGAGAATAATCAAAAAAATAGTAAAATGATGATAGAAAAAATAAGATTTAATCCTATGACAATGCCCAGCAGAAAACTATTACAGAGACCGGAATAGAGTGGTTATTGTTTGAAATTTAGTTTAAAATTGCAGAAAATAAAAATTATGTCCTCTAGAATTTTTTGAAAAGAACCTAATCCCAAAGAACGCTAAAAAGAGAACACTAAAAAATGGAAGACTTGGAATCTCCATTGCCTTAGCACTCTCGATTCAACATTATAGAGACTAGAATAGAGTGAATAAATTTAGTTTAAAATTACAGAAAATAAAAATTATGTCCTCTAGAATTTTTTGAAAAGAACCTAATCCCAAATAACGTTAAAAAGAGAACACTAAAACAATGGAAGACTTGGAATCTCCATTGCCTTAGCACTCTCGATTCAACATTACAGAGTCTAGAATAGAATGATTAAATTTAGTTTAAAATTACAGAAAATAAAAATGATATCCTTTAGGATTTTTAGAAAGATTCTAATCCCAAATAACACTAAACAGAAAACACCAAAATAAGAAAGGCTGTGAACCTCAATTACCTTAGCACTCCCCATTCAACACTACCGAGACTAGATAAAAATATAAGAAATAATAATTTTTGTTATAAAAATACTTGAAAAAAAGAATATGGTTAATTGAAGATCCGATTTCCTGGCACACATTTTTTTTAATAATAAATGAAACATAACAGTGTAAAAGTCAAATTGGGTTTAAATTATTTTGAGAAATAGACACCTCGAAAAAAATTAGAGATATTTCTTGTGATTTTTACAAACGACAAGAAATACAAAGGATTATATATGATTCGAATCAAAGAAAATACGAACGCAAATAAAAAGTGTGACCTTAAAATGTTGTGAAAAGCCTTAGAACAGCCCCAGAACCACGAACCGACGCGACCGTTTTAATTATGCTTCAGAAATGTTTCTTCTACATGTCCTCTTCATCTGCATACTGAAACAACGATAAAAAGAAGATCAGTAAAGATGTCCGCGTCCAGAAAGTCCAAATAAATTCAACTCACCTCCATTCCACATCCTTTTACCGGCGATTCCTGCTACACGGCGTAAAAAGCAGTGTCATCACACCACGGGAGCAGAAGGACGCCCCTGGTCCCTCAGGGACTACGGACGGTCCCTGGAGAATCCCATTTAACGCGTCATCAGGATCGACAGAACCTGGAAATACTTTTTAGTAGCAGGACATCTAACACAGACCGACTAAATTCACAAACAACACGCGCTGCGTACACGATCATAGTTCTGGAAAGATAGAAATATTTTTGAATTAGATTTATGGAAAAGAACTGGACAGGCGAGTGTTCAGACTTACCTCACTAACACTGACACTAGGCTGAATATGCTGGACTACGGCCCATCCCACCATTCCGATTAGACGTCAAGAAGTATGTCCCTCCCCCTCGGTGCTGGCTGTCCATCGCAGGGTAAATTTTATATTTTGAAACGAGCTCTATCGTTTTGACATGAGATTATTAGGAAAATTAGTTTAGAAAAAATAGAGAGTTATACAAACTAGTTTAGATACAGCGATAAAGCAGAGAAAAAATTGATGGGGCAGAGCAAAATTTAAAAAAGAAATGGTCCCTTATTCCAATCTCTTACAACAGTGAAAAGAAAACCCTAAAATAACGCCAGACTGGAACCGGCACTACTTTAGCATTATCAATTCATTCATCTCAAAGACCAGTAAACTAAATAAAAATTATTATAAGTTTGATTTGAAATTATATAAAAATATAGAGAATAAAACAGTTTAAATCAGAATGAATTTACTTAATTTATACGTGAATGGGAATACTAAAACAAGAAGGCTGTTACTCTTCGATCGTAATTGTATCATCCATTCACAAGAGACCATGTAAAAAAGATTACTTTAAACAAAAATTATGTTTTTTATTATGTTTTTAAGAGAGAGAATCTATTATAATCCCATTAACGCTAAAAAGAAGACCTAAAACAAGAAAGGCTGTGAACCTCTGTTGTCGTAGCACCCTCGATCCAACATTACATAGACTAGAATAGCATCATTTTAAATTTTTAGAAAGAATATTGTCTCAAATAACATTAAACAGGAAACGATAAAATAAGAAAGGCTGTGAACTCAATTTTTATCAGAGAATCTAATCCCAAATAACGCTAAAAAGAAAACACTAAAACAGTGAAAGACTTGGAATCTCCACTGCCTTAGCACTCTCGATTCAACGTTACAGAGACTAGAATAGGATGATTAAATTTAGTTTAAAATACAGTAAGTAAGTAAGTAAAAATTATATTCTTCAGAATTTTTAGTGCGAACCTAATCCCAAACAACGCTAAAAAGAAAACACTAGAACAATGGAAGACTTGGAATCTCCATTGCCTTAGCACTCTCGATTCAACGTTAGAGACCAGACTAGCACTAAACAGTAAAATAATAAAATATATGTACCTCCATTACCTTAGCACTCTCCATTCCGCAGTACCGAGACTTGATAAAAATAAAAAACATAAATTTTTGTTATAATAATACTTAGCAAAATGAGTGGTTTATTGAAGATCCGATTTCCTGGCACATATGTCGTTAAAGTTTTAGAAAACATAGTTTTTAACAATCATAACTCCAAGAAATAGGACCTTTCTAAACCGTTTAAATGGACAGACCAAAACACTGGAGAGACCCAAAGGCACGGCGGGTGTTGTTCCAGTCAATTCGAACCTTTACGGAATCTTGGCCAAGCCTCGACCCTCCGATACCAGCTTGGTCCTCCATTCCTGAGGACATTTGTTCCTTGGAACCCTGGCCAGACCAAAAATCACCGGGCTACAGGGCGACCCAGCTCAAAAAGAATCAGATTAAGAATTTGACGGTGTCGTCGAGAAAAAACCATTCGACGACGGTTTGTATTTTTCGAGTAACGAGGCAACCCGGAAAACAAGTTTATATGCCTGCGTTTTTCAGTTTCAAGAGGAGAAGGAAAAATATAAAGACTTTCACTAGTAAAAGCTTTATATTGGTGGTTAATTAGCAAGGCGACATCGGAGGCTGAGAATAACCACATAGTTTTATGACGTTCCGATCGGACAATTTAACGTAACGTCTTCTGCCACATTCCCTCCACTCAAGGACCAGCGTTTACCTGCCCTTTCCGGTCCAAGAGTGTCAGATGAGCCCAACCCACTGCACCCCTTTACAAGCCTCCTAGTCCTCTAATTGAGCTGAGCCCCACTCCCCAGACACCCTTTACGTTTAGGACAACAACCCGGCCCCATGGGATAGCCTGCATAGCATGTTATAAGCTTACGCCCGGTAATGGAGCGGTCGAATAACATACCCACTGGCAGACTACAACGCAACGAGCACCTGGGAACCCCGGCCTGCTACCGGGGCTGTAATAATATGAGAACGAATCCAGGGCGAAACAGTCCCAGGCCTCCGAGACTGGCCCCTCGCGACAGTCCCCACAGCCCACAGATTGCATCGCAACCACCCCGCAACGCTGCTTTTTTGTGTCTATCGATTTTAGAAAATACGAGCACTAAAAAGTACTCGTATTTATTATAGTAAAATACTAGCACTAAAAAGTACCGGTATTTATTAGATACTTCATGTGAAAGGTTCTTTTAAAGTGACATTTATTTAATTTAATAATTATACTTTCAAAGAGATGAAAATCTCTGTTTTCATGGATAGAAGGCTATAAACATTTCTTATAGAGTTTTATTTGCGTTAGAGAAAAAGAGTGACACTTGTGATATTGAACCCAGACTATGTAAAACGACGGATTAATCTAACACGAACTCAGCGGTCATGTCTTTAGAGCCTGATAGTAGAGACATTAAACCGCACGCTTACTAGCTGGGAGCGTTGATGGATTTTCACGTGATAGCATTCCATGAACCGTCTGCATGGGTAAAGTAAGTGTAGTTTGGTAATTACAATTGTGTGTCCCCATTCGATTGCGATCTGAAAAAAGAAAAAAGAAAAAAAAATTACAAAAAGACCCCAAACAACCCTCTGGCTTTTAATAATATATAGTCTTCAATAATAATCAACGACTAAAGTTATTGAAAGTTAAAATAAAAAATATATGTAAAACTAAAAATGTAAAATAAATATACAAGGTATCTCAGTATTCGCGCTTCAATAAAACACCTCAGTTATACAGGGCGGTAAAGAGTGTAGGTCTTATTAACTTTTAACTACTCTATGTGACAGAGAAAAAATGTTTATAGAGAAAAAAGTTTCCAAATTCACTGATATCACACTGATATATACATTAGAAAAATATTTATTTACAAATTGGTTGTAGAAAAAAAATATAGTAAAATATTATAAGTTAAGTAGCCGCGTGAATCCCTTGTATACTGTATACAACCAAATAATTATTCTCAATTTAGAAAAATGTGATTTGACTATAAAAAAAAATAACTTTTCATAGTGTGAGCTGTTTTTGAAAAAGTGAGTGAATAATATTGTAAATTTGGTTGAGAAGGTTGAGACCCTATTCACCTATGAGTTCCAACAAAATTTTAAAACAAGAAATTAAAAAAATTATTTAATTAAAAATAATAATTTCAAAAATAAATATAGATATAAGTAAGCCAAAAAGAACGAAGTACAAAAAATTTACAATTACAATAAAGTAGCACTATTTTAAAAAATCCAATGAAATTATATCATTGAAATCAACTAATATTTTTTTCTTAAAAATGTATAGACAGATATTATAAAAAAATATATATACACATATTTCTGTAGAGATTAGTAGTGAATACGAAAAATTAATAAAACACCAGTAAAATATTTCAAAACCTTCGTGTGATCTGTTTTTGAAAAAGGGAGTGAATAATATCTGTTATCTGTTGTGATTTTGGTTCACCCTATATACCTATGATCCTATGAACGCTAATAAAAATTGTTACCAAGAAATTTAAATAACTATTTAATAAAAAATTATTTAAAAAATATATTATGTAGATATCATCCTATATCATTAAGAAATAGTATAATAAAAATAAAATTACAATAAAGTAGCCTTGGAAAGTCGCATTATTTTAGGAAAATCTAATGAAATTATATCACTGAAAACAGCTAATAGTTTTTCTTAAAAATTTCTATATCAAATGACCAAAAAAGAAAACAAAAATATTTAAAATATATTTCTGTAGAAATTAGTATCTAATGGACGAAGAAATAGTAAAATATCATTAAATATTTGAAAATCTTAATGTGTCTGTTTTTGAAAGAGTGGGTGAATAATATTATAATTTTGGTTCACCCTATATACATATCTATAGGTACTAAAAAAATTGTTAGGTACCAAGTAATTTCAATAGCTATTTAATAAAAAAAGTATTTAACAAAAATAAATATAGATAGATAAAACAGATAAAAGTCATAGAGACAGAGTGTAACAGAGTATAAATAAAATATTACAATAAAGTACCATTATTAAAAAAAAAACAGCTGATAATATCCTTTAAAAATTTCTTCGCAAATATTCAAAAGAGAAAATAAAAATATATACATATTTCTGTAGAGATTAGTAAAGTGGGTGAAAAGTTAATAAAATATTATTAAACTATTTGAAAATCTTGCCAGAAGCAACAAAAACATATTATAGTTTATCAACCCCAAGCACATAGTATCTAAGAAATAAATAAAATAAATGAATTAGCAAGCAAAATTTATTAGCTTCAGAAAAACTATCAAAAACAATAAACTACCTATGCATATTAATTTTCTAAATGTTATTTTGTTTAAATGAATCTTTTGTAAAAAACATCTAATCTAATACATCCAACAAGCGCTTTTATAAAATGAATGCAAATATATTTAGAAAAAAATAATCAAAAAATGCACAATAATTAATAACATAGACTATAGATAAATATTTCACAAACTTAAAAAAATCAAGGAACCAGTAGGTATATTTTTTAAGGTTTAGACCAGTTTCAAGAAAAAAAATCAGCTGATTATCAATATAAATTTCACTAGTTAGTTATTCTACATTAAATATTTCACTAATTAAAGCAGCTACAAACTACAAGCAGATGCAATTCTGTGTTTTACAGCTTTCTAAACTTTATTTAGATTATTTTATAAAAGATGTAATACATAAGTGTATTCCCCTATTATATAATATCTATAAGAAAAACCATATCAAAAGCACTACCATTAGAAATATTCTTCAGAAAATTGAGGTGATTATTATATATTCACTTCTTTCTAAAATTAATTAGGCTTTTATTTCTAAAATACTATATACATCAAAAGGTATCTAAGTCTAAAAATTATTTATTTTAATACATACATACATAGATAGGTGTACAGGATACAACCATAAAAACATCAAATTTAGAAAACTATCAATACACAACAAATTAAATCTTTTTATAGCAAGCAGAAATTAT